GTCCACTGATCGAATCTTGGATCAACAGTAGCCCAGGATAATTGAGCCTCCTATCCCTCGAGAGCGAGTTGACTGTTTCCAGATTGGTCTAACAGGATAAAGTACGGACTTGTCTCTTGGCTGGCTACCGCAATTCACTTTATGGGCCGCAAACAGGGTGGTCGCCCAGATGTACGTATGGTACCGTACCTGTGCATTTCTCATCCTTTCGAGTTAGAAGCTGTTGTCAAAACTTTCTTTTGTTTATTAATTACTTAGCTTCTGCCGATTCTGTATGGATGCTTGCAATAGAAAGCATGCTGGTTATAGAATTCATGCATGTGGTGAGGTAAACGATAGTTTTGGGTTGATGAATCGCAGCACCTTCACTACAAATTTTATCGGGTACTGTACGTCACCTGGTCCTACAAACACACCCAAGCAGTCGTTCAGAGTTCTTTTCGAGTCATAACCGTGAATTGGAATTGAACTCAACAAATGTAAACTAACCCAACTGACGACAGGATCTATGCCGGTGAATACATATGTTCCGTCACCGTTATCTGAGTAAATTACATTCACCCCAATATTATGGCTGTAAGCGCCAAAAGATACGATATACTGAACAAGAATCATAATCCATACATTTCGTCGGGTCCATATCTGGAAAATTACTATCTTTAACTGTTTCTAGCATGTAATCTGTAAGAGATGTGTAATCTTCGAAGAAAGAAGGCACACTCATTTCCATCATTGCACCAACCTTGTCATACTTCTTCATCAAACAAAGTGCGGAATACCGATTGAGAGTGAGAAACATATTCCCAATCATGTGGGTAAGAAAGGTTGTTCCACTGACCAATACAGCAATAACGACGAAGTTTGCAAATTCTGGGCCTAACCCGATTTGACGATTGAGCCGATGAAAGCAGCTGGTCATGATGGAGAACACGTCGGCGATTCCTGAGGAAGATATTTCACGTGTATTTTGTCAAAGAACTCTTCTCCACACAAGTGATACTCGTTTTTAAGCTATTTGGGGGTACAGTTGTTTTTGTTGATTTTCTTCTTTTTTGAGAGTAAATAGTTTCTGCAAGGAAAGATGCGGCACGCCATACTAAACTAAGCTCTATAGGCTCTGCAGGTGCTCCGGCGTAGTGGTAGTGGTAGAAACTTTCTACATACCAATTGAATCCGTTTTCACCTGATCACAGCGGGAGCTTTCTGTGTGGTGCGGCCCAAGCTTGAAAGGAGTCTGTATATGTAGGTAACAAGATGCAGGGCTGAAGAAGAGGACCTCTCGCAGCCACCTGCTTAGAACCACTCCAAATATCTTTCACCTGGAGTTTTGGCTCTGGCATCTGGCTCATTGCTCATTCCTGGAAGGGCTACCCACGAGTTATATATGAATGTGAAGCGCTAATTTGTGCACCTGTTTTAATATCGTCTTTTGGGTCAGTTCAGAAAAAGCCTCAATGCTACGAAGTGTGAAGCGTCACGTGGGAACGGCGTGGGAGGTATTATGAAATGGGGATTTCACTGATACCGTTTTAATTGATCCCTTGGGGAATACATATCGTGATGTGGCGTAATTATGTGATTGAAAGAGAATCGAAACTTCTCTGTCGTAACTGTTTGTTACTATTCAACTCATCATACTGTATGGGAACTGTTCGCCACTATTCAGCAGGTCGTTCTTGATAAATGTTTCTGTAGGTTTCTTGATTGAAGTTACATAATAGACACGCATTTATACCTACCTGTCGCTACGAACAAGACATAGAACGGATTTTTGAAAATTTTAACTTTAGATGTGATGATAATAAATAGAACGAATACATAAGTGGAGGCCAATGCTCCTTCACATGCAGTATGCAGAATATCTTGTGCCATATTCTCTGCAAATAGTTGTATGAGCGAAATGAAAACTTGAACCTCAAACTTCAGAGCCAGAAGTGATGTCGCTAGAGAAGTTCAGAGAGAGATTCGCAATTTTTTTTCAATGAGTAAGTGAATACCTTTCTATGAAGTGAAGTGAGTTGAAGTACAGCGAGCTGAACTTTTATTGAGCGCACTGAAGTTTCAATGAACGCTACACGTCTGCAAAGACTGCGTTTGCATGGGTTTTGGAGAAGCCTTAGCTTAACGTAAGGACAGTGTCCCTCTTCAACAGGAACAATGCGAAAAACAATACTATCAAGAAGTCGAAAAAAATCGCTGGAGAACTAATGGGTAAAGAAGAAAGCGTGATTGATTCATCTAATACTTGCATGAGGAACCTTGCAGATTAGCGCAAGATAGGAGCTCTACAATACTCCAAGAAACAAACTAGAATTGGACAGGTAAGGCGGAGCCGTGCACAGGCGCACAATACGTCAGTATTGCTGTGCAACAAAAGCATAACAGGTTGTATATCTCTCCAATAGGTAGAGGTGGAGCAGCGCTCACACGCGTTGTCCGTGGTTCAAACGCGGATAGACACTCACTTGAGACAGCCACGCCAAGCATTTTATCCCCACCCTCGCGTCAGTTATTTGGTACAGGCTCGTCTAGAAGGAACAAACCACTGACTTGTAGATCAACTGGATGCAGCCGAACGCATTCAACCGCCACCACGGAGGCTCCATGAAAACCAGTGTAAAAGGAGCTACGAAAATTCCAGTTTCAGCGTGCTCACTTTCGTGACGACTTCCTTCCTGAAGTGGAACCCTGTGCTTCTTTTAAAATGTGAACAATCCTCTGTAGAGTTTAAAGAGACTGCGAGAATGAATAGTTTTAGGAGAGATCGTTCTCATATCAATAATCCTCAATCCAACGTNTTTCTGCCCATTCTAATTCCCTCAGAACCACTCACCCGACATCGGAGGTGTGGAAGGCTCGATTGGCCTGGGGAGTACTGATGCTGGCTCACAGCTCTGTTCAGTGTGTGATAGTCCTATTACACTACTACTCAACAAACAAGACGAATTTCATCATGAGAAAACATCGCTTTCAGAAATTATGCTACTTCTCAGAATACGCAAAAATCCTGCTACTTCTCAGAATACGCAAAAATCCCGTGAAAGAGATATTCAGTAGCTTGGAAACATGACACACCATATTCAGTATTCAATAACACTTCCCAGCAGTTGCCAAACAAACACTGTAAAACATACAGTATGACAGGAAGTTAGACCTGATTCAAGTTTAGACATAACACATAACAAGTGACTGAAATATTCTTCAGATACGGTGGCACAAAGAAAACATTATAAATTTTCTGAGAAGGATCCTATCAATACAGGCAAATGAAAGCATGGCAAAACTACTCTTTTTCTGAGTAAGACCCTATTTCTGCTATACAATCAAACAAACTTCCTACAGAGCAGGAACTTCCTCTAATTATGCTTCTCTTCATGTCAAATGCGAAACATTGAGATAGAGGAGGAGCGAGGAATGATATCATCTTCGTCGTCTTCTGATTACAGCCATCTGAAAACTCCCAAATCTACAGATCGCATTCACGGAAGGCGGCAGATTTGATGATTTGGTCATGGGCTAGAAAGTGAACGAAAATATCCGAGAGAAATGCACCCACACCTTCACCCACCTTTCATATGAAGAGCTTTGGGTTGTGTTTCAAACCTTGGGAACTCAATAGCCTTTCAATGATTTATTGACTGTTTCCTGAATGTTTACGGTATGAAAGATGTTATAGAAAGGCACTACGACCATAACTCCTTAACATTCGCAGGCCAGCAAACCAACGTAAAAACAGAGTGAAATTTCTAACAAAGGGTTGCTTGCATCGAGCCCGACAACATTAGGCGGTTACTCATTATCCATGATAAACTGTCCGGGTGTCATCACGCACCATTTTGAAGTCGTGGAGTTCACGTTTTCACTATCAGTGCTTATCTAGCTAAATAACAGGCGAGGAGTACTTGTTTATGCTAGAACACAGCATAAAACAAGCCCAACGTGAAGTTTTATCGACATCAAAAAGACCTCTTGCTTCCTACTCCACGAATGATTTTCCATACAGACACTCAGAGTAACGCGCTTACACTCTTATATATGTACCTATCAGTAGTGAATGCTCTCACTCGCTTTTTTGCCTAGAAGTTGAGCAGGAGCTCGGTGTTGTCGATACGAACCTAAGTAACTAGCTCATTGATGAGATTAGTCTGGACCCCCATTAATATCTGTTTCCATGATGTTTCCATGATGCCCTGACAATTGAAGGATGGTGGGTGGCTTCGACCTTTTATTCAGATTAGGATTCTTACCGTCGGAAAAGTTAACGGACGCTGGCCTCGAATCTGCCATCCAGATTCGCGAAATGACTCTAGACAATGGAATTTTTTCAGCCATGTAGTATGGGCTGCTCTCACGTAACTACGGCTGTGCAGTGATGGCACATACGGTAGGGGTGGACTAAGGTGAGGACGTGCGTGAGCAGCTGAACTGTTGAGAAGTGTCCTCGCTAGGTTTTTTCGTAAAATGTCTGCTGAACGCTTGCAGGACCATTGTCCTTAACCTATTGCTAATCCTAGCCCTAACTTGCCCCTGGGTAAAGGATTAGCATTAATTAGGCTTGAAGCGCATAGGTCAAAGTTTCTTCGACCACAATCTTACTATCTAACCCCACGAATTTCCTTTCCTAATGATTGCGTCGGTAGATTAGAGCTTCATCCTTCTCACTTGAGGGCAACAAGTAGGAGGTGTGTGTCTCGAACTTTTCTGAGAACGAAAGTCTTATACAACGGTGAGAAATTGCTTTTTTTTCTGGTGAATAATGGAGAATGAAGACCTTTTAGATCAAATGTCCTCCATTCCTTTTTAGAAGTTACTAGCAGAGATTATATCCCTACAGGTGAGAAAGGACGGAAATCTCAAGCATCTTTATGTTAGGCTAATCTTTGAGATTACTATTATACTATTCCTGTGGAAGTTTGAAGTGCTGAGGCAAAATTTTTATTCTGAGTGACTTGTTCAGAAAGAGGAGATGAAAGAGAATGTTTGATGATTGAATGATTTATTTATTTTCTAATAGTAGTTTGCCGAACGTTGAAAACAGTTACAGATGCGGTAGATTTGTTCTGTTGTCGCGTGCAGCGAAAGAAATTGACGATATCACGACGGAGCTCTGTAGACAATACCACCAGACAGAAAGGCGGTACACAGACCATAACGTCGTTTATCCAGAAAAACTGAAAAGAATTATAAGTTAAGGGAAAACCCACATGGATGTAATAATGAAAACATTTCTATAGTTCCCTTCGCGTATGAACTCTTCAAGGAGGCCATCTGTTCTAAGCTCGAGAGGTAACGAAAATCTTAACCTGAGGGGTTTGCGCTTACATATCATGGTCACCTGAGCACAGGAATCTCAGCCAGGGAACATTTCTTGACCGTTGGATCGACGTGTCCCTTTGTCCCTAACAAGGTTGACGAGTTAGGGACAAAACTTTGATCTAGGATGTGACTCAGGACCGCATCTGGGCTATCCGAGCGTGCTCTTTATTCCTTACTCCACAGAGACCTCGCTTAATCCCGCCTTTGTACTTGCTCTTATCCCTAACGCTATAGGGATCCGGATAGCACATGTACGGGTTCAAGTCCGCTACATGGCCGTGAATTTGTCCATGACTTGCTGACCTTATGAGGCTTTTGAAACGCATACCAATGCGAAATAGAAGCAGCTAATGGAAGTTCAGTCAAAAACTAGCATTGTTGCGTTCCAAAGAGAAATTTTTACACAAGAGTTTACTTTACTCAAATAAAATCTTATTGAACAAGAATCTCTCAATCTAAGTTCGGAGTTGACCCCTCTGTAAACTGATAAATGTTGTTGTTACTATATGCGCTGTTTAGTGATTGACTGATGGAACTGATTTCCATTTAAGGATTGTTCCGATTTGTATTCTTTGAAAACAAACGGGCTTAGTAAGGGGCAGAACAAGGCATACCTGCATAGTAGCCCATACATCAAAGTCTGTGTTGCCGGAGAGGCTGGCGACTGCTTTCAAGCCTTGCTGTATGCACATCAGCATAGTGGAGAAGAACACGAGCGCCGTATAAAGAAGAAGGCCCTGAATAACTCAGAATTCAATTATGTTCAAGCAAAGTAGGTAGTAAGATATGTTCTAATAGTGGCGGCAATTATAAACATGCCAGCACTGGATCAACTTGAAATGAAAATATGTTGAACATACCTTTTCATGGCGAGAAAGCTTTTGGTTACCACTGATTTTGGACAACTTGCGCCATCTTAGGAAAAGCTTGACGTTACAAGTGACACTGATCAGAGCATAAGTAAGGCTCACGCCGCCGTATATATACCTGTACCTCTGAAAAGATAATAACTAAGATTTTGCTGTGCCTACAGAATTTTTGTATCCATTTACGGCAGTTAGATTGAGCTGCCATGTGTTAGCTTGATTCATATATTTTTGCACAGGGGATGAAGTCAGAAAAGCACTCGACGACTTCTTCAAGTACCAGCCCCGTCCTCCTGGGAGAATGGACTCGATAGGCTACCAAATTGTTGACGTCGAGCAGTGGATGGTGATGGGCATATTGTGCTCTTGCATCAACTGGTGCTTAATCCGTATTGTTCATCAATTTAATGTTTCAGTTGGGCTCATTCAAGCGATGTCGCCTAGTCTTTGATTCCTAGTATCCCCATCTCGTGGAACCCCGGAATTCCCATTCTGATATTTCCCGTTATGAGACAAATAACCATTTCATGACTTAAGTCTCTGGCAAAAGAGATTCTGAAGCCTAAGTTCGATGATAAGGAGAAGCTGGGACACTTGGGGTTTTAGTTTCAGATAGTCTCCAACTCGAAATGGTAGGAAGTCTTAGCTAATTCAATGTCCTTGAAGTTTCTGCTTACCTACAAAGGCAATTAGTATCCTATTCTTGTATTCACCTTATCTCCCTGCGGACCTTTTAAGTCGAATCAAGTTGTTGAAATCTAGACCAGACAATCCTAACGAGACGCCACACTGTGGGCAGACGATTTGGCTAGCGCAAAATCTACTGTAAACTACAGTCAACCCAGTTTGAGAAAAACAATATTGAGAGTGGATTCCCAAGCTGTACCCTTTGTTGGAAGAAGTCAATGCTTACCCAACTGGCTGAAGGTTCCACTCCAGCATAGGTATACCGTCCGTCACTGTCTTGTTTGTATAATAATTCCACACCAATCATGTTTGCAAATACAGCGAATGCCACGATATACTGGACAAATATCATGATCCATACATTTCTTCGACACCAAATCTTGAATAAAAGCATTTTGATACATTACATCACAAGCACAACTAATATTCTGGGAAGTACATCACCTTTTCGTAGCTTTTCAGGAAACGAAGAGTAGAATATCGGTTTATTGCGATAAATATATTACCGATCATGTGAGTAAGGAACGTTGTACCACTGAATATTATCACAACTGAGAAAACCGGCTTAAATTCTGGGCCCAAACGAAGTTGACGATTCAGTCGATTTAAGCAGGCTATGAGTATGGCGAATATGTCCGCAATCCCTGCAAAAAATAATATGATTTTTACATCGTGTTTTCCATGCTCTCTTCCGAATGGAAGGCAGACTCATCTGAATTTGACATTGCTGATAACTCTGATCTACGGTCGTAAGATGTGAACGAAAGGTTATCTCTATGTTGCAACCTTGTTCAAGGTACAAATCCTCCTAGAAAACGAAGTCCTTGCTACTCTTTTTCATGACCCAGATGTCTTTCTGTTGCTCGAGGTACTATGAAAATGTCGCTAGTCTCTTGGATCAGCTACAGTTTTCAGCAAGAGCTCCCTGACCAGCATTCGTCTGCTCATCATGGTCAGAGAATCAGCTCTTGAAACAACTAGCCAAGTAAGAAATAGATCTAATTCAGTGCTTGTTCCTGACCTACACGCAGGCCTCTTTGGAATAGCGAACTCTGTGTTCTCTGCAAACCAGAGACTCTTTTAATTGACGTACTCACTGTCCCTCGAACTGCAAAAGCCTTAACTGCCGTATATTCTGAGATTCTTTGAATCCATCTCTCGGGCCTTTGTGCGCTGAGTAGAGTGATTCGGTACGATTAATGAATTTTGCTCAGTTCATATACATCTTACAACTAGTAGGATGTGCTTATGTGCAAACTTCAACAGAGCAGTAAATTTCCATACAAATCGAAACAAATCATTTCAATGGCACTCTAATCAGGCGAGGAAAGAGCATTGATCAGCTCTTGACAAAAAAAGGTTACTGAAGTAAGGGCAGACGTTTTGTGAGTGTTCTGTCCCATGTATGCCCTTCGAGTTTTGACTTTTTCTATTATAGTTACCCTTGTTGGATTGGTGACCGAGCGAAATACATAACTGCGTCGTGAATAGAAAAGAGTCAATGCCTTACCTGTTGCCACAAATAATAGATAAAATGCAGTTCTGAATACTCTCGTTTTAGATGTTATAATGATAAAAAGGACAAAAACGTAAGCTGTCACCAGTATACTTTCGATTACTGTGTGTAGCACATTGTGCTGCATAATATCTGCAAATAAGTATTTAGAGTTCTGTTATGCGAGTTCAACTATGTATGAAGCCGCAGTTCACCTGCTCCATCTTTGGTAGCAGGCGTTGCTTGTTGAATCGATGTACTTGACACATTCATGTCAAACTAAAACTGTGTTGTTGTAGTCTTCACGTAGAATTCGTAGCCCTGAATAGTGAAATAAGCTTTGTATTTGGGGAAACTACATAATCTAGCATATTCACAGTCTCGAACAAATACAAATGGGTAAAATTTGGTAATTGGTTAGAATGGGTAAAATTCGAAGACCAACATATAAATTTGTGCAGTGCCTATAGACATTATAGACGACGACAACGATAGTTGTCCTTCCCGGTTTCTTCGAGTAAACAGCATTCCCAAGTAATGGATTTCTTTTGATTACATAACATTGAGCTCTATCCCGTGATAACTGTGATTGTGGCCAAGGAAGTTTAGCAGTGGAGCAGATCAAATTCATTCTAGAACACACTCAGCACCACTTCGAAAATCGGCTTATTTATGCTCGCAAAAAAGTAAAGAAGTGTCACTCGCGTCGAGTATGACGCCACCTCCTACATCGCGTAATTCAAACATTGCAAAAAAACTAATTTCAAGTTATTCATTCAAGTTTTGCTGGCATTTTGACATCCTGTTTACCATTAGCCTTACCTATGTTGTGCAGATCCTCGTTTTGAAAGCAATCAGAAGTGATTCGAGTCTTGAAATGACTAAGATTTTGAAAGGAAGTGGAAATGATTCATGGAAATACAACAAATCTTGAAAAAAGGCAGACAGATTTTGTGTGTCGGGAAGCCTTGGCCATTGAAGAGAAAATGCCTTTTGCATGTCTGAAGACCTCAACGTTACAGCGTTCGTAGGTCTGATAAAGAGGAAGAAGATTAGGAATGAACTAGCGCTTAACTTCTATAAGCGAAAGAGGAAGGGTTGTTTGATTTGGCTTTTAGCACAAGCATTTATACTTTTACTTAAATAAAAGCCGGGTAAATAGTTTTCAGCAACGGGAGCTCGTATCGATTCGGACAAGCATTGTTCACCAGCTACATAAGCGGAACGGAGTAAACTTCCTTTAAACATAAAGAGATATACGTATGTCAATTGCAGGACTTGTTACTCCGCACCACTACAACGATTTTGAATTGTTAGGATGACATCATAGTGATGTTGATTGTTTTGTTCTGAAAATTCTTTTATCCCCTTGACTCTCATTAACCGTATTCCGTACGATTCCATGTCTCGTGTCTGTCTCTTTCAATGTTTGTTATGCTTCACAGCCAAATCTTCGATAGAATTTTTATTTTTCAAACTTTCAACTTTCAAAAACTCGTTCACGAATATATGGACATTTGGAGAAACTTTTCTCTCGATTCATGTTGATGCGGATCGAGATTTCATGGACAAATCAGGGCTAGAATATAGCAGCAGAACACATTGGTGGTCCACGGCTTTCCTTCCTCGAGGGTTCTCTCTTGCTGTAGGATCCCTACCCGGAGGGTGGCAACGCCACATTACTCGATCCCAGGCAGTGGATAGGGAAAGAAGACCCAGAGACCTAGGTGGATCATGAAGTAGACTCTGTATTATTGCTATGTTTAGTCGGTCAACACCTTCTATTACCTCGAAGGCTTATTCATGAGCGCATGTGTGAAGAGTCTGAGGGTGTGGTAGTATTGTAACAGGATGGGCCAAATACGTCGGCCGCCAACTACGGTGGAATAGAAAACCAGCTTAAGAGTGAAAGAAGAGGAAGGGGCAGATGGTTGCGAGCAACCACCTTACTATTCTGTCCTCTGCCTCTTCCTCATCCGAATGACTGTCCGCGTGGCCTAGCTGGTCAGCGGGCCATCGAGGGAAGGTTTGGGTACGGTGTAGCTGGCCTGTCTTACTCTATGTACTCAATGAACACACCCGACAACGGGGAGCTATCTACGACTAGCCTCCCGACGATCACTTTCGTCCACATTGTCGCCTCGGGACCTTTTGCCCCATGCCACCTCCATTAGCCAGGACCACCAATCAGGCCGGAATCACTCCATAGCAGGGTTATTCACTTCCTGATAAGTTTATATTTCTGTCTGTTGGGAGAACCACCTTTGGATAAAAGGGGTAATTCCACTGCTATGTAACTATATGACGCACATCGGCTCAGGCAAGGGTTCGATTGACAGAGAAACTTTGGCTTGACTTTGAGAAGTGCATTTTCAGGAGGGCGCTCGGAGCCTCTTCCAAAAAATAAGACTATGGCTTATCCACTACGGCATAGTCTGATTAGCTACCTGGAGCCTACCCAGCCCCCTGTCAGAGCCTAGCAAGCTATCCCCGGGTGACGATATGTTAAAATGGTAATCTGAAACCGTCTAATTTCCAAGCCGTCACGAACCTTAGAAAGCCCTCAAACACGGCAATGTTGTTAAGGATCGTATGAGACAGGCTGCTAAAATCTCTGGGTCATAACCGGCTGCCTAAAAGAAGAAGAACCAAATGGAGAACTGTACATTCAGAGCAAGAACGCTTGCATAGGAAGCAGACATCGGCATCTGCTGATGCAAGCCAGGTAGATCGGCTACAATGTTATGGGACCGAGCGAGAGGGGGAGGAGTGACCTCAAAAGTGGAGAAGAACTGTTCCTCAGAATAGGTGATAGCAGAGGCGCCGATGATGCAGAATTTCTCGTCAGTAGGCACTCAGCAACGAATATCGACTCGTACGGAAGCTCGACGTTGCAATTGCGAAGATGAAGCACAATTTAGGTTTTGCCATGAGTTACTCCTCATTTCCCTTGCTTTTCGTGGACAAGAGCACTTGTTCTCTTTAACGTTCAGCAGCCACTCGTGAACTTACGTTCATTGAATTCGGACTCTCGAAATATGACAGTTTCCTGTTCACATCATGATGACCTGAATCGAAAAATGTGACAAGCAAAATTGAATTTGCTGTTCTGATCGTGATTTTCTTCACCTTTTCAGGGTTTCTTGGTCATCGTGATCTATTCCTAATTATGGCAAAAGAGTGTTATGGAGAAGTCTTTGGAGGAGAAAATTAAGTGTTCATCCATTAAGCTATAAAATATATAAGGTTACTGATTATAGCTATGCATTTGGTTTTCTTTTTTTGAGAGCATTATAATGAGTTCAGACCTTCAGTGCAGAATAGAAAACGAGCATTCGATAATGTATAGGGGAGATCTATCAGCAAATTCGGAATAGTTATTCTCTAGCATGTGTGGAAGGCATGAATTCGCCATAATGTTTCAAACGTAGCCAAACTAAATGTATCGCTGTATTTGTCACCTTCCATTTGGCGATTCACTGAACGAACACTTGGTTTTCTTCCTCGAGCACTTCTCCAAACACTATTTTGCTAGAAATTTGAACAAGAAAAAAATTCAGGAGTTGGTAAAGTAGAATAGTGAGAACGTGTGATCCATCGAAGTCCAGTGTTGTCAGCACGTGGCCAGCAAAGCCGCCGGTCGATCGGTCGGTGGGAACAATGTATCGGTTAATGCTAAGTTTTTCCGCCGCGTTTTATCCATCCGTGTTTCGTTTGCATGGACGTTGGTATTTCGCCATAACGTGTGCCTCAAGTATGCGTAAAACCCTTTCATCATACTGGCTATCACTCGCACACCCTGCATTTAGAGGTCACAATGCCGCACAATTTTCACAAGTTTGTCACAGAGAATGAGGTCTGAGTCAAGAAGGCACTCGACGACTTCTTCAAGTACCAGCCTCGGCCTTTTGGAAGTATGGAAATGACAAGCTGCCCTAAGCGTTGGCGTCGTGCAGTGGATGGTGACGGCTCATACCTCTGATCTTCAGGCTGGCTCGCTATTGAGATATCTACGAAAAAATAGGGGGAAACAACTTATGCAACAATCTAACACATCGATGGAGTCCGAAAGCTCCTTATTAATGACTGGCGTGCTGAAACAAAGGTACTGACATTATCATCATATCGGCTTCTAGAAAGCGTATACATACTTTGATGTTCATTGACCTTAGTTCAGCTGTCTGGTTTGACTTCTCAGACTAGAGAGGCAAAGTATATACATAGTAGGACTCCTGATGCTAATTAATTGGTACTAAGGGTTATGCTTCGGCGGCAAATAAGCGATACGCTCCTTGTCAACCGATAGGTCAATCTGCTGAGCGACCTGATGTCTCGTCTCACCAAAACTAATATTATAATTCGAAAATTAATTGAAAAAGTGCAAGCGATTTCACTTTTTAAAAGATCGCAAAAATGAAAGGTGCTGTGAACCCATCTCACCGTTTGCGTTTTCTGATTTTTTTTCATAGTCGATTCCAATCAATTTATTTCTATCATTGAATGTAGCACGCACTTAAGCAAAGACTTGAACCTCGAATTTGACGTTTTGTTTATCATGATTTACTATTCTCACTGTTATAGTGTATTTTCACTATTATAGTCTATATGGGAAGGGTCGAAGTGGGATACGGCGCTACTGCATCTACACACGATCGAAAATACAACAGCGATGTTGTATTCAATAGGAAAAAATGAAGGAATTGCGAAAACTCCACTTGTTGAAAGCGACTGTGAAGTAAGGCATAGTGAATACCATACCCTACAGAATGAGAGATGGGTCGAGTTTCATTTTAGAAAGTGCTTCACAGATCTCTGCATATGCTATGAATTCACATCTTCAAAATGATTCTTCAAAACTCTACCTACACAAACAAGTTAGATCGGATATTTATTCTTCAAACTACCCAATTTCTCTTCGACTTGTCAACAAAAAAAACAGTAACTTTGAGAAGATTTATTAGTGATTCATTCTGTCAAATATTCACAAGCAAATACCGCATGATTTGGCACAAAGCTGCGATGCAAGGTAGTATTTCAATATATTGGTGCATATGTAATCGGGGCTGCCGGTATGTTCCGCGCAGTATGCTTCACCTCCTCTGTCTACGCATGGCTGAAATGGATTTAGTTGTAAGAATATAAATAGTTTATGAGATTGATTGCGATCAATGCTATCTTGTTTGTAATGCATTACACTTTCGGACTTTATAGGGAGAACGTGATGTTATGGCAGGTGGCGTACTTTATAGTGCACAAGGCTCCTAATATTTCAT